TTGGCATTTTTGAGCAGTAGGTGAACTCTTTCAAGTAATTCATTCCACAAAGTTTATGTTTTTGTTTGCTGATCAGTTTACCTTGTGTAAGAATAACTTATTCCTTTATTGTTGACATTATTTCACAGCAGTCAGAAAAATGATTTCCCTTTTATTTTTCATTAATTTCTTTTTTGTCCTCTAATTGTACAATTGGCTAAAAAGTTTAAAGGAAAATTTTGTTTTTCAGAAAATAAAGCTTCAAGTCAAGCTGAACAGATAACTCAGACTTTCCTCAAATCATACAGCCTAAGGCTGGGAGTGTAAGAAATTTTTCCTTCAACAATTAACTGGCTGATTAGATGGAGAATTTAAGGAGCTAGCTATTCATATGTTCCACTGTAATGACTGCACAAACCCAGCTTACAGGTATTACCCATGCAGAAATTAAAGAGAATGGGAAAAAAGTGAAGTACAAAAGTGTTCAGACTGTAACAGCCCAATTTACTTCACTAAGCATTCTCACAGGGGTTGTTTGGGGAAAGAGAACAAATTTGAATAACTGCTCTCTCAGGGTTCCATCTGAGTTTTTCTCTAATCACCCAAAGTTGTTTCTGATGGATTTCAGCTGTATAATTCAAACCTTTGACAGGAACTTCCCTGACATTATTTGTCTTTCAAGCAGAGCTGACACCTGTAACAAAACTGACATTTATGTGCATTCTTGCTTTTAATCAGGTTCCTTTATAGCCTTATCTCCAGGATGACTTCAAGAGGTGGCAAGTGGCATCAGACCTATTCTGCATCACTGTTAACATGTACTGTGCTCTTCACCTCAAGCCAACGTGACCCCATAAATGTAATTCACTGCATCACCAACATGCCCTGACTTTCAAACAGCAAGCCCAGCAATCGTGTGGAACAGGCTGAATATGGCTGTAGGTCTCAAGTCTCAATTTCTGTTTTCAGCAAACACTTTAGAAGTACTTGAAAGGAATGGTTTCTGTGTTAAAAACAGAGAAACAGTAAAGAGGTAGAGACCAGCAAAACTAAAATATTGCCATTTTTCTGTGAGACCTGTTTTGTCTCTTTGAGGTTTGCTTTACAGCTACAATTATCCTCCAGACATCCTTCATCCTTTAAAAAATGTCTTACTATGATAAGCTCAACAATTTTTAGGTTATCAATAACAGTTCACACAATATTTGAAGAACTATTTATACTTCACAGCCAGGAGACAGTACCACAGAAGAACCATAAGCCTTTGTAGTGCTCTTTTCCAAGTGGCCTCTCTTATGTCAGGTAAACCACTGGGTGTTTTTTCCCCTATTTTTGCTTTTCAAGCACATAAAATTTGTCCTTATAATGTGAGGACACACTTGTTCAAGGAAAAGTGGCTAAACACAGAAACACCAACTGAAGAATGTCATGAATACTTCTGTGGTGAGTATAAATTGCTCATCTTCCTCACTTGCTCCCCATCTTCAAAACACTGAGTTCCTACCAATTGCTGTATTGCTACAAGTTTGGAGGGAACTTATTTTTTCTTGCACACATCTTCATGCTTCAGAGTTGCTATTGCCATTTGGGTAAGATGGCACATTAGCTGTACCCCAGTGGAGTTATTTTGCTATGTTGGGGTGACTTTTTAAAATCTTGCACTAATTCTAGTACTTACCAGTTGAGATCATTTTACAATCCAAAATCCAATTTAACTCTTTTATCAGATTTATAAGTGTATCAGCTGCTTACTTACTGCTTGGTTTTTTCCAGCTGCCATTGTAGCAGATGTCTGTCACTTAGTTTGATAGTTTGTGCTTTTTTACACAAAGTAAAAAGAAATTGTATTTTCTTGGTAGGAGCATTTTAAAAAGCAACTTTTTTTTTCTAGAGTTAAACACCTGCATATAAAGAGAACTACAAAACCTGCTCACTAATTGAACACCTCTTCCATAATACTAGCAGCTTGGGTTCAAGAATTTTCTTCAGCCAGCAGGCTTGAAAAGGGACCCAACTTAAATGTATTACCCTGTATTACCCTGTATTACCAAAAAAAAAAAAACCCAAACCACCACTGCACATGAAACACAACAGTCACTCCTGCTCCCTAAAGGCAGTGTCAAGAGGCACCATAATTCCAGCCCTTCCTTGAATTTCTTTGGCATATTAAGATGTCTAAAGTAAGGAGAGAACCCCAAGTAGGGCAAAGCCCTTTGGTGTAATTCCTGCCACGTCCTTCTCAGAATTAAGCTGCAGGCAACAGAAGACACCTTTGCAGCCAGCAGCTCTTCCTTCCCATTACTCAAAGACACAATGTTGATATAGTTAAATATTTTCTAATTAAGATGAAGAAAACATAAAAGGCCAATACATCAAACAAGTTAATGTAGTCAACTACAACAATTACCTTAATCAAGTCTTGAAATGTGAGATGAACTCTTTTCAAACAATAAAGCTTTGGCTGTGTTAGAAGCACCTATTCATCATTTAATGAACACTCAGAACACAACCATTAAATTAAGTGTGTGTTTTGCATTACCCTTGCTGTAATTTACAGGTCAGGTCAATGAGCAATAATGTTGTTACTACAACAGAAAAACGTCTGCAACTTCAGGCTTTATATTTAATTGTAAAGCTTCAGTTCCATGTTAACACAATAGTCAATGTGATTTCATAACACAAATTCATCTGTTCTCTGAAGATAATAGATTGTGCTTTTCTTTTTCCATAAATCGTATCAAGGAACTTTTTTTTCCCCTGAAAATACAGATAGCAAGATAGCGGTTCAACTTAACCATGCTTTATTTATTCTACCAAAACCCCTCACAGCATAAAATTAAGAAATCCCAGTTCCTGCAAACTATTCTGAGACCCATTCTTAGATAAAAGACATCAGTAAGAGTATATGAATATTGCACAGGCTTATTCTTCACAACTGAACTCCTGTGGGGGAAGCAAGAATGAAGTTAGCCAAAGAAAATACAACATGTTTTCAGAGACATAGTCAATATTGCTAAATTATAATAAGATTGGAACACTGGATTTAAAAAAACCAACCAAACAAGTAAATGCTTTAATTGTAAATTTTATGCAGAAACTAGTAATAATATTTAACTATTTATTGACTTTTGTTTTAAAACTATTTTAACAATGCTATCAAAATGAAGCACAAAGATACATCCTTTGAACAAGTTTTCATTATAGAATTGTAAGTGCATAGGATAAACTAGACCAGCATGGGAAACTTCAGAGGAACAGAAAAGGCAAAAATACAATTTTTTCTAAATACTAGTGCTTAAGTCTTAAAGTATGCTGATAGGTAGCAATTACTAACTGCACATTAATGGCTTTGTATTTAGAAACAATCTACTAGGACTATTAACATGGTAACAAAGAGGTCAGACTAATCATACAGGATATATCTATGCATATTTTTAATAACTAACAATTTTCCTAATGAATTTTAATCAGACAGGCATTCCAGGCAAGCACTATTTCTACAATTGTGTCAAACTGTTTTACACCTATAATATAGAAATAATAGGTAGCAATTTTGGACAGTCACTTAAATTTCTTTAACAGCCAAAGAAACAATATATGTGTTTCTAAGGAATTATTTCATCCTAAAGTAGGTGTGCCTGTAAGGATCAGACAAATCCCATTTTTCAGCTGGTTTTTTTTTTTTCTGCCAGTGACTATAAAGGGATTACAGCCAGCTGCCTCAGTGGCATGACACCCATTCTTGAGGATTAACTTGTCCTTAGCAGCAATTCTTCAATAATCACACAAACTGTTGAAGTGGCAAGCCATGTTGGAAAAGCAGCTAATTACACTTCGAGTTATCTGGTCTTAACATTATGGTCATGCACTTTGAATCACAGAATCATTTAGGCTAGGAATAAAAAGCTCTTCAGTCCAACTATAAACCTAATGTTGCCAATTCCACCACCAAATCACACACCTAAATGCCACATCTACAAATCTTATAAGTACCTCCAGGCTAGTGACTCAGCCACAGCAGCCTGCTCCGAGGCTTGACAACCATTTCTGTGAGGAAATCTTTCCTGTTATCCAATCTAAACGTCCCCTGGCACTACTTGAAAAATAATTCTGAAAATAATCATTCAAGTTCCATGCATTGGAAGCACGCACTTCCAGTTTAGGAAGAAATGCAACAGACTAATAAATTGGAAAATCAAATATTGAGCAAAGGCTTTAGTGTTACCCTCAAGAAGCACTGTAGCCTACTTAAGCTCAAGCAGCCCTTATTTTATTGGCACAGTGAAAACTCCCATAGGGAAGTTTTCTTTAGGGAAATGGAGAATGGTTTAAGAGATTTAAGAAATACACCCCAATCAAAGACATCCACGCTTCTTTTATTCCAAATAAAACCTATATTCAAATAGTGCAGCCCTCAGCTGAAGGGAGACCTCAGTCTTGTTCAGGGCCTTGTTTTGATGGACATAATGATATCAGATCCAGACAAAAAAGTTGCTTTAAAATGCAGCTTGGAGACCTTTGTCTGGAGACCAAGGCTCCCTGCAAATACAGAAAGGCGATGCTGAAGACAATAAACACTCTGCCATGAAAGAATATAGCCTAGTAAACCTCTCCCTCTTCCAGGATACCTCTAATCCCCTTAAATTACACGAAGATGTCTCTCCTGGTGTTCCAGTACTAATCTAGTGTCATTCCAGATGACTGAAGTCTAATGGCAAAAGTCTTGCAGGAGAGCTGACAACCAGCAAAAAGTTCTGGTTCAAGTGCTCACATTGCAGCTGGCAAAAGCAATTCCATTTCCAGCTGCTGTCTTTACTGCTCTGCTCAGCCACTAGCAGCACAATTATTTGAAGATGATTCTTTTTGTCTTAATAATTTTATTAGAATAGTTCTATCATATCAGTAAACAGTTAAAGGAAACATTTTACAGTCATCTTCACAGTAATTCCTACAGTTAATGCTGTTTTGGCATTGTAATTGTAGCCAGCAGTCTTCAAATGCACAAAATAGTAGAAATTTACCTTTAGCACACAATGATTTGGCCAAGTAGCAGCACTTGGGTTTTTGTCTTTCAATCCAGTTATTTTATATCTGCATGCATCTGACTTTTCAAAAGCAATTGAGAGGCAACTGAAAAGAAAAAAGATGGTTTTATCACACAGCACTTTGCTTTTCCATTTTAGAATGCTATACCTTTTTTTTTCCATAGGCATATAGGAAGGTCAGAGAGCTCAAGGAACCTCAAAAAGATTTTCAACTATCAGAGAGGAAAATTTCCACAGGCTTTTACTTGCAAAAGCTTATGAGGTAAAATAGAATTGACAAGATTAATATAACAAAAAAGCCTGTTGAGAACAGCAGCTGATAGTATCAATGTTTAATTGTATGTATAAATGCAGTTCCATGGCTCCAGTAGACTGTAATTTTTTTGACATTTATCACAGAAAAAGTGAGCATCTACAGTTGTTAAATGATAGAGAAAAAAACATATTCTTAATTACATAAAGATTGAATTGCTGTTGTATACAGTATGCCCAAAGACATGGGTGCAACACCAAACTCCTTTTATTTCTCATCCATCATAGATGAGTACAAGGGCAGCATTCATGATGATTTGAAAATCCCCATGTAAACCACATCTGCATCTAAGCACAGTCATCCCTACACCAACACACATCTTCAAATGGCTTGGGGTTTTTTCCATCCTAACTAAAGCTCAACCATAGCATTGTCATATTTTTAAGCATACATTGCACATGGAGGTTCTACACGTAACAAGCAACAATAAACTACTTTTGTTTTCCATCAGAAGGCACACTTCTGTTTCCAACAGAGGGAAGGTTGCTCTTCTCCTGTCTTCCCTTCATCCTTCCTCTTAATTAAGGTACAAAGAGTTTTACTATGGCTGCTTATGCCAGAAACCTTTAGAGGGGGAAAAGTCTTGTGGTCAAAGCTGTAGGCCTTTTTTCTCAGTACAATAATACTAATCAGTCAAAATAACATATGAATACATTTCAGAACTAAATTATTATATGATATGATATTATATGAAACAGGAAAGTATCTAAGACACTGTTTGAGGATTGGAGGAATTCTAGACAGAAAAAAAAACAGAAGTTATTTATCTATCAGATTTTGGGAAGAGGTCAGACTGACAGAATAAAATGTAATTTAAGCAATTTTTTTCTTGCCTTTCCATTGGCTTTGTGTAAGTTAGCAGTATACTTGCAGTGCAAGGGTAGGGGAGAGAGCATCGTGTGCCCTGAGAGAACAAAGAGAAGACAATTTGAACTTTGCCTTCCCATGGGTTCTATTATCACCCTTGTTTTTCACTGGGTTTTCCTCAAATTTTTCCATTCTACTTCCAGGCACATGGTGCAATCTTTGGGGATTCTCTTTGGGGTTCTCTTGTGCAGGGCCAAGAGTTGATCACTTGAATATGCTGAGCTGGAAGAGTCCCACAAGGATCATTGGGTCTGACTCCCTGCACAGGAGTCCCCAACATCCCCAAAGAGTCACACCCTGAGCCTGAGAGCATTGTCCAAACACTTCTTGAGCTCTGGCAGACTTGGTGCTGTGACCACTGCCCTGGGGAGCCTGTTCCAGTGACCAAACACCCTCTGGGGGAAGAACATTTTTATAATATCCAGCCTAAACCTCCCCTGAGGATATTCTATCATTCTCTTCCATCACAAATCAATTGAAGAAAGAGTGGTGCATTACTTCTAATACTTAAGTATTAGAAATAGTTCTCATTTCCAAGTGTTTAATTTTTTCAAGCTGTGCAAGGATAATGCAAAAGACTAGCAAATTTTTCACCTAAAATACCAAAACTTTAAGACTGAAAACAAAGTATTATCAAATATTTCTTTCTTTCTTTCTTTCTTTCTTTCTTTCTTTCTTTCTTTCTTTCTTTCTTTCTTTCTTTCTTTCTTTTCTTTCTTTCTTTCTTTCTTTCTTTCCTTCTTTCCTTCTTTCTTTCTTTATTTCTTTATTTCTTTATTTCTTTCCTTCTTTCTCTCTTTCTTTCTTTCTCTTTTTCTTTCGTTCGTTCTTTCACTCTTTCACTCTTTCTTTCTTTTCTAAGAGAGACTTGTCAAGTCTGTCTATTTCAGCATAACCTAAAGTAATAACAGGGATATGGGAATAGAAAGAAGTCAGAAATAGTCTACTTTGAAGTAGTAGACAAACTGCTACAAAACGGCATTAGTCTTTGTTTGACTGACCAATCTTTTTGAGTTTAGGTGTCCAATAAATAAACTTAAGTAAAATTTTGCTACTCCCTTAAGGCTTCTAGTTGTTGTTTCCTTACTCATTAGTTTATCGAGAGCAAGGAATTAAATCTATACTGCAACATTCACATGCTACTGGAATTTTACTCAGCAGGTTTCTCCCTGCTGAGTTGCTCTACAGCTGATTATCTGCAACCTGACTCTAGGCAGTAAGATATCACCAAAACCTACCACCTACACTCCTTTCTCTTAATAAGGACAACTAATACTACATTCTTATATCCCAAACTGTAAATGTTCTTCTGCATGTCATAGCTTTTACTTCAAAGAGATGCCAAAAACTCCACCTTGTCATTATGCCTTCTGAGAAACCACATCAATAGCTCTACACTGAGCTGCATCACTCAGTACCTTGTGAAACCTACAGCATGCAGGGTTTTTTTTTTTTTATCATTTATTACTGAAGTGCTCTGCACAAGCATATTTTAATGACCAGCAGAAGCAGTGGTTTTTGTGAAGCAACAGCAACCTATATGGACATGGATTAAGTGACAAGCAGCTGTGTTTCTAAATACTAACCACTGTCAGCCAAAGCAGTGGGACATTGACACAACATTCAGGTATTTCCTCTTCTCCTTATTTTTAGTAAATGGCACTTGCCTTCCACTGAGCCACTCACCATCCTCCTACTCCATCACACACAGAACACCCCAGGCAGTCAGTAAGGTTCTGCCAGTGATCAGCTTCAGAATACACAGCATGACCTTCACAGGGCCTGTTAGGCAACATTCCAATTCCACTATCATGGTAATGAGAATCATTTCCTATAATCTGATATTTTTGTCATGTTGTCTTCTTCCTATCCTTCATGTCCAAGCTGCCAAACAAAAATGGGTTACAAGATCATTTCTGAATGCTTTCATAACAGATCAGGCATGTTTCTAGCGTTGGTCAAGAGCCATTGCTTTGTAGGGTCAAAAGGATCATGATTCTACAGAAAAACTTAGTTCAAGTTTGTGAAATAACTACAAACCTCTCCTGTGTCTTAGAAACTTGGTAATTTATTTGGTAACTTCAATGACATTACAGGAAGCCATGAAACCTTTTGGGTAGAAATCTTCTAGATTTCAAGACGACAAATATGTGCTTAAGCATTTCATTCCTTTAAGTAATTTCCCCTGGGCTTCAGCTCTTGTGTGTCTTTGAGTGGCAAATTTTAAAAAGACATTTCATCCATACTCCTGTTTTCTACAGCACTTGTTTTTTAAAACCTCAGTTTGTCTCACATAAGTCTATTCATTATGCATAAAAAGTTGCCTCCATAGTGTTATTTCCAGTTCAGTATTTGAACTAACATAATTTCTAGTTAAAACGCTAGAGGAAAGCTGAATGATATATTGCCTTAAATGCAAAATATGGTTTGGTAAGAACAAGACAGGTCAGCTCAGTTACATTAAGAATTTGGCACACTCATCTCAGTCCTTTCCTTAATCCTGTTCCTGCAGGGTACACACATGGGGAGTTGTAGTGACAAACCTGTCATTGTTCTCTTTGACAAATGGGTAAGCCTACATCAGATTTAAAGGGTCCAATATGCTCTTATTTTACACACAGCTTATTATCTAAAACAATATATTTTCATTACCAGTTTCTAAAGCTTCATTAAAAAGTTTGACCTTTTCCCACTGGTCTCCTTATTAAAGCCTTAACAAATAGCTTTAATAATTGGCAATAATATTGATTTCTTAATGTGCCAAATGAAGTGCAGATCTGCATTTTCCTCCCCCAAAGGCTGAGTATATCTTCAATTCCACTCCAGATACCTCATCTTGCAACCCCTCTCCTTTATATACTGTACTTGAATGATTTTACAACTGTTGTTTCTTAGCTTTGCTCATTTCTATTCCTCTCGCCTTTTACATTTTAAAGTTTGTTCACATTTTACCCTTCCAAAATATCTCATGTGTCTTGACTTGTCTGCTTTCCAGATTCTAATGTATATCACCTAACTAATGTATATCTCCCAGATGTTTGCTACCTCACCAGAAAATAATCTCACTATCTCAGAAGGGAGGCAAATTTATGGAAAAAGTAGTATAGCTCATGGAAATACACATGGCAAAAGATCCCTCAACAGGCACTAGCAAGAGAGGCATTTTCAGAATAGGACATTAAACATCAGAAACATCTTGATTAAAGGGTTCTGATATTCAGGGAGTTTAGGAACACAGCCAGCCACCAAAAAAGTACCATTGAGTCCTCTTACTTGTGCTCAAGAGCCATAAAGCTGTGAAGGACTTAACAGCAGCCACTGAGAAAGGACTTCCTTCTCTACACAGAGAAGGGATCATCTAAAATAAAAGCTTATTTTCAGGCTCTGTAAAGGCACATCAATTATGTAGCTAGCCCACAAGGATATTCTTCCCCCAAATACAGGAGCTTAGCTTTCCATGCTTGATCAGGTAAATGCTTTGCTTTCATTTTTCTTCTGTTTTATTGCCTGTTAAATGCCACAATGTCACACTGCAAGGGCAATTCCCTGCTGAGTTCCTACTGAGGCAGAAGAGCTTTTGGTTTGCTCACACGAAGCTCTGCTGAGTAAACCATTTCTAGATTTCTGTTTCTCAAAACTTTTCTCACACAGCCATCAGGTAAACACAGGTACCACAAAGCCAAGGAAAGTGCTGATATAAGTTTTTAAAAATTAAAATAAGGTCTGTGTTCTGGGTTCAACTCATCTGCAGCAACTTTGACCTTGGCAGAGAACATTCCACTGTCTCAGATCACCAAGCAAGATTAAATCCTTTGCTATGTGGTCATTCAGATTCATATTTCT